CCCCAAATGAGATAATTTAATCCCATGGTCAAGTTGATTTTGAAGTGACTCTAAATCTAGTAAATCCTTATTGTAAAAGTAGGAGATTAAAGTTTTTTTTTTCCATAGATAAAATATATATTACAACAAAGGTGGAGGGGGACCTGAACCTTACCTCCACAATAAAGATGGAAATACATTCGGTCAACCACATATGGTAACCAAGATGCACTCTAACACTATGGTAGGTTAGACCTATAAGGATGGACCAATTGTCTATCCAAAAAAAGGATAGTCAATTGATGATACAAAAAAACAGTTTTGTTAAGCCTTGGTCAACTATACAAGAAGTACTCGTAAACCTATGAATGCTAAGCAAGAGAGATGTAAGGTTTTCTTCCATGTTCATGTTCATGTAGGAAAGATTAATGAAGAATGGTACATAATCCAATTCAAAGAGCTGGACTATCTTCCATTTAGCTTTGACATTGAGGTCAAGGAAAGCCAAATGGAAGATAGTTGACAAAAAGAGTCCAAGTGACATTGAACTGTGCTGCTGCTGCCTAGAGATTCTGACAGAAAAGAGTGAGCTAAAAAATGATCCATTTCCTGGTGGAATGATCCAGCCTGTGAATGCGTTTGTCATAGAGCAGCTGAAAGGGGCACATTTGTTCCAGTATGGTTGAACAACTGAAAGTGGCACCTGTTGAATGCACACTTGTTCACGTTGGGATGTCTGTTTGATGGTCTGTTGCTGTGGGTGATGTGCCTGCAGTGAACCATGTAGATGTGTGTGTGTGTGTGGATGAAGGGAGTGACTTGGATCAAAGGATACTTTCTCAGCAGAATGAGCATTAGAAATGCTGATACCACTGGCTGAAACAGTACCAGTTGATCAAGTAAACTCCCTGAACCTGCAAAATGAAAAACACTTAGTGAAAGGGAGCTCAATCTTCAGGTTCTTATGGATTCTGGAGATGAGTCTGGGGAAAGGGGAGCAATTGGGATCCCTGGTCTAACAGCTGATTGCAGGTTCTTGTGACTGCAATCAGCTGAATAGATGCTCATGCTGAAGAAAGGAACTTGACTGAAAGAGCCATGACTGCTTGTATAAGGGGGGCTGCAGTACTGGTGAGAATAGTTTGGGTGGTGGGGTTCTTTGGATTGGAAATGGGATTTATCTGAGAAGGGTGGGCTGTAACTGATTTCAGGAATTGGTAAAAGTGGTGCTGCAAATTCTGCACAGCCTACAAGTGAGAGTACTGCACTCAGCACTTTTGATTGCAGTTGTGTTGTGTTCTTTCTGTGGGGATGATGGATGAATATCAACTAGGTTGGATTTAGGAGAATGAACAAAGGGGAAGTTGTTACTATTCTCAAAAAACCATACCAGTTGAATGATTGAGGAAGAGAATGTACCTGCAAAGCAAGAAACAAAGTTAGTGAAAAAATAGGCAGTTCTGTCCAGTTTTTTGGGACTGTTTTGTTTGAAAAATTCAATGGGATGTACATAGTTGAGATGCCAAAAGAGGAGGGGGTCTCCTAGGTTCTTGTGGGGTGTAGGAGTATGAAAAGAAAGGAGAAAGAAAAACTGGGTGGTAAGTCATCCGAGAACTGTGATTTTCAGGTATTTCCTTTCTTTTTGGAGAAGATTCTCCTGCAGATGGTGAGTATCTGGAGGTCTGTTGTGGTGAATAGTGTAGAAAAGAGGTGTGCTACTATGGTGAAAGGCCTGGGTGGTGTGATTTGTGTTGAACCAAGGGACATTCCCCAGTATGTTTATCATGAATGTTATGTGAATAGCATACTGGAAAGTGGTTGCTGAGCCTTGAATGACCTGCTTCTCTTTATGACCTTCATCAAACCATTGTTGTAATTTCAAGAGAATGAGCACAAGTACTGATACCACACTCTGAAATAACAACAATGGGGTGGGAAGTTCATGAATGAGAAGGACCTGCAAAAAAGAAAACAAGGTTAGTGGTAGGGTTCTGTCTGGCCAGTGCCTTTGTTTGGTGAGCTTTTTGGTTGAGTGAATGTCTAGAATCATTTGGACAATTAGGAGAGTAAAGTTCACTCCTACTTTTAACTATGAATATAAGAAAAAAAATACACCTAAGGTCAAATATGATACAAAGAGGCTTCTTTTTTTTTTTTGGGTTCAAATTACAAGAGCATAATGATGTGGCTTTCTTTGGGGGGAAAGGAAGTTGTCCTCTACCTTCACATGAGATACTCCCTTGAATTAGATTAGATAGTTGTAGGTTGTCAGAATTATTTGAGTCTCCTCTCTGCCTCTGCCTCAACTTCTGCCACTATCCTCACTCCAAATTCTGTTAAAAGTACTCATGCATGGATGTCTTCTCCTTTTCACTCTAACATTTGTTTTTGTCAGTTACCCTTTTTAGTCCTTTTCCTCAATTTTTTCATTTTCCAATACTCATTTGTTTGATTAGTCCATCCCTACTTCTACTGTGTTTGTTTGTGACTTTCTGAGTTGTCCCCTCCCAGTCTTTGCTCCTGAGTCTTCCAAGTTATTTTCCTTTCTTTTTTTATTTCAATTTATGTGTCTTATTTTTCTTTTTTATCTGTTAATTTTTTTTTTATATTTAATACTAGTTCTTTAACTCCAACTTTTCAGATAGTATATTTAAGACCATAAAATTCAAGGACATTTTGATATATTATGCACATTTTTAGTTTAAAATTATAAGATTTAAAAGTTTTCTATATTTTTTTAAATTCAGTGCTCGGTCAAACTACGATACATAAATTGAAACAGAAGGTGTACTTATTGTGCTCCAACCATTTGTCATTTTCACAATATTAGATTTTGTTTACTTTACTGTAAATATCTCAAACTAGTATAGCTTTGATAACAGCGACGACAATTTATATTTCTGGCTTGTTAATTCAATTGCTTTCCTAATCCAACTATGTGTTGTATATGTTTTTTTCTAGTGTTATATATATTTTTTCTTTGGAGTTGGTCTTGTTCGCTGGTATTAATTAGTACTAGTAGTCGTACCCGCGCGATACGCGGTCAGTACTAAAAAATATTAATTAAATTAAATTATGATCGGGCTTGTTTGATTCTATTAGATTGTATTGCTTTAATAAAATTCAATTGTCATCTTACTTGTCAATACGATATACCTAATAATGAAATCTCTATTAAATCAAAGGTACTTATATAGTTAGTGAATTTGTTTTATATTTTTTTTATTATATTAACCAATTTAATATTCGCTTTCTTTTTGTCATATATGAGAAGATTTATAATTTATTACTGTTGAAATATTTTTTTATTTTAAATTTTATTCTGTTGTTCTTAATAATATTATCTAAATTTTAATGAACAAAATCTCTGTTAAACTAACGGGACTTATACAGGGAGCGCATTGAATAACTTTTTTGTTATGTATTTTTCTTTATTATATCATCTAATATTTAATATTATTACATTCCTAATAGAAAGTTTTATTAGCATATTACTTTATTAAATATTTTTTTCTGAAAGTTTTTTTATGTCTTTATTTTCGTTTTATTTATTTTAAAATAATTTTAAACTCCAACTTGAAACTAATCCCCAATTTGAATTGGTAATTTATTATTTTTTTAATTTCGTTTCTTATTTTAAGATAATTTATAAACTCCAACTTGAAACTACTCCCACCAAATTTGAATGGGTAGTTATTATTTTATATATTTATTTTTCGTTTTTTATATTTAATTATAAGATATCTATATTTATTAATCCAAATAAAGTAACCAATTAATATATACATACATACATACATACATATACATATATATATATATATATGGTAGTTTTTAATTTTATTTTATTATTTCCGTTTATTATATATATTTAAATAATAACCAATAACTAATCATAAACTAAATAACTAATTATGCCATGTGACATTTTTTTAGATTGCCACTTGGCTTAAGGAGAGGGCTTTTTCCTCTCCTTTTAATAATATATAGATATAGATATAGATTTTATTGTTTTCGTTTTTTATATATATTTAAATTCAAAAATAATAACCAATAACTAATTATAAACTAAATAACAAATTATGCCATGTGGCCTTTTTTTAGGTTACCACTTGGCTTAAGAAGAAGGCTTTTTCCTCTCCTTTTAATAATATATAGATTTAGTTCTCCAAATGCTGTCCTAAGCTGCCCATCGAAGGATTTTAAATGTGTAGTTACGAAAAATGACGCAAAAGAACAAAATTGATTGTGTATTGTTTGATTGTATTAAAACATGACTGTAATTGTACGTAATCGATCTTAGAATCAAGTTAAGATGCTGGCTCAAGCTAATAGCTACTTAATGTGCTACTCATCTTTTTTGGTCTTAATGTGGAACGTTTCATCCTGTCTATAACCTAACTTGCGAATAATCATGCTCGTGCTCTTACATTTAATTTTTACATTGCAATTCTAGTACTTTGTCCGTTTCAGTTTATGTGAATTTATTTTATTTTTGATCCGTTTCAAAAAGAATGATCCCTTTCTAAATTTGATAACAATTTAGCTTAAACTTTCAATTCTATAATTAATGAGAAACTTTTATAACCACACAAATACTCTGGACACATTTTTAGGACCACAAATTCCAAAAATCTTCGTTTTTTCTTAAATTTCGTGCCTAGTCAAACAAGTTCGAAGGAGTATTATGTAATGAGATGAAATAGTACGTTGGAATCATTGGATTGGAAAACTATAGAAAGTTTAATTTCCATTTTCCTAACATGTATACAAAATTGTGTTTTACCAAGTTGTAGGAATCCGTCAGATTTAATAACATATTTAGATCACTCATCTTGGTTCGATACAAAATCCAAAACATGGGGGTTACTCTTACAAATGTCACACATTAAATATTTCCCTTATAGATTCCCTATTTTTTTTAAGAAGAAAAAGATAAAAGAATTCGCTAATTCGAGGAATTTTCTGTGTGTTGTGTGAGTTGGCATGATGGTGATGCGTTGTTGGCTTTCAGTTTTGCTTTCGCTTTACGAATCTCCCTTTTCTTCATTCGTCCCTTCCATGCAAAGCTCTTCTTCCATTTTTCCTTTTTCTCTCTCTCAAAATTTTATTCTTTTTCATATTTTGGATTCATCCTTATTGTCTAAATCCGTTACGAATTTTGAGTAGTCCCCTTTTCACTTTGCTCCAACACAACTCAAAGGTGAGAATTCTTTTATATTAAATTAAACCTTCTTCTTCTTCCTTACTCATCCCTAACCCCACCCCCACAAACCCCACTTGGGGTAGCCCCTATTACCTCACTTTTCTTGTTTTATTGGGATTGCATGCATCATGTTTTTGTACTTTTTTGGGTTTCTGGGCTCTTCTTCTTCTTCTTAACTTTTTTTTCCATTTTTGGATTTTAATGGATGTTTGACTTTCATGGTTGTTATCTCCGTGGAGTTGGGATATAGCAGAAAAGAAAGGATTTTTATCATGGTTTTTAGATCAATTTCCTCTTTGATGGGGTTTTCTGGATTTTAAAAGACTGAATTGTATCTGGATTACTGATATTTATTCTGTATTTGTAGAAAAGAAGTGATTTTTTGTTTTCTCTATTGATATGTAGAGATCAATTCCCTCTTTAATGGGTTTTCTTTCTGGACTTTCAGAAATTGAATCTGTATTGGTCGATCGAGAGGGTTCTGCTTTCAGAATTATAGCTTCAATTGAGGTAAGTTAATAGATTTTTCTCTGTTTTAGAAGTGGTTTTAACATGCAGTAGAAAAATATTTTGATTTTCCTTTTCTTTTCTCTTGTCTTTTTGTTATCTACTCAGAAAAGAGAGGAATTCTATGACTGAACTTGAGGATTGAACAATTATGGGATTTTGTTGCTTGGTTCATTGAACATTATTGGGATGTGATAATATTTGGGATGAACTATATCTGAACTATTTGGATTGAATCTCAAATGGACTTACCAAATTGTAAGCATTTGACATTCTTTGGAGTCCATTTGAATTCCTTGGCTGGAAAATGCGTGGGGTTAGTTGTCATTGTTTTGTTCCTAAGAGCTGTTCTGTTTCCAACATTCTCTGGACTTGGTGGGGTCATTCAACAGAACAATGTTGTCCTTATCCACAACCTATCATTTCCATCAAATCAACCCGTAAAACAGAAGTTTTTAGAAGTTCCTCAGATTGTCTGGGGATTGAACAATCAGAAGATTGCTTTTGCTCGAGCTTGTTTGACCGCACGAATGCTCAATCGAACACTGCTAATGCCTAAATTGAGTGCTTCGCTCTTTTATAAAGAAGTCGAACTTTTGAAGCCTATTTCCTTCGATAAGGTCTTCCAATTTGAAAGATTCAATTCCCGTTGTAAAGGATTTGTCCAGTTGAGTCGCTATTCAGATGTTTCAAACCAAAGTGATGTTATCGAACTTCAGAAAGGCAGCGGACGAAGGTGGACGTTGGAAAAAGATTTGGAGCAGTTGACTCAATTTAGTAAGCATCCATATGATGCACATGAGATTGTTCGGATAGTAGGGAAGAACCCATTTTTGTGGCATGATCATTGGCCGGCTAAAGACTATGCAAAGGTTTTTGAATGCTTAGCTTTAGTAGAGGAGATATCGACAGAAGCAGATAAAGTTATCTCCAAGATTAGAGAAATAGGAATGGAGGTGAGAAGTAAGATTCCAATGTCAAGCTCTTCATCAGAACCAGTTCCCTATGTAGCTGTGCACATGAGAATAGAAAAGGATTGGATGATTCACTGTAAAAAGTTGGAGCAGAGATTAAACATTAGTGAAATTTGTAGTAGTAAGGAAGAGATTATGGCCAGAGTGGGAAACATCCCGGGTCTTAAAACCCCTGTAGTTGTTTATCTTGCTGTCGCCGATACTCTTCTTGAAGATGATACTGTCTTGAATGGTTGGAAGGACGGATTGCTTCCTTTCGAGAAGAAAAAACTGGGCGTTTTTGAAATTTACAAGAAGCAGCCATACCTATTTCAATCTGCTATCGACTATGAAGTTTGCTTAAGATCTGATGTCTTTGTCGGGAACAGTTTTTCAACATTTTCTAGCCTTGTTGTTCTTGACAGAACCCAGAAGATGATTAACATGGGCGATACGAAGTTGTGTGGTTCGGATGTTAGGTGGCCGTCTTATGCATATAATATAAGAGGAATGGGGGATAGCCCTCATCCATGGGTAACAAACATGTCTGATACTAGCTTGACGGCAATTAGCTATGGTACCAATCACATTGCTTGCTGAGATGGCTTTCAAGGCGTGAATTACGTATTGTTTGTCAACCTTGGATGCATGGATAAGGATGCAAATGATTGGCCGATGTTGTGGTCTTCAAGTTTTTTTGGTTAAGGAGATAAGTTATACAAATTCTTGAGGCTTTGTGGGGATTCTGAAGAGTAGGTATACTTTGCATTTCTGTAATTACATATCTCAGATTTTGCATTCATTTTTGTTGATATGTTACAACATGTTAATAGAGCTTAAACTTTTTCTGGTAGTTTTGTATGATATACTCTCTGTTTCTCATACTGAACAAAAGAACAAAGAAAAACGGGGGAAAAGAGCAAAATATTTGATGAGCATCTGTGTTGTCATTTGTCTTCTGCTCTTTGCAGCCTGCAGCTGTAAGATATTTTAGGCTTTGTGTTGAAATTTAACAGTCTAGTAATATTTGATGTCCTCCACGAGATAGTGAGAAGCTTCCTTGTCACTGTTCCTTGAGCCGAGAGTCTATCGGAAACAACCTCTCTACCTTCACAAGGTAGGGGTAAGGTATGCGTACATGGGATTACACTGGGTTTATTGTCGTTGTTTCATGAGATAGTGAGAAATTGAAGGCCAAATGTACTGTCTTTTCAGTACTTTATCACCATATGACAACTAAATGAAACACAAAGTACATTGTGTATGTAGACCACAGAGATAAGGAATAAGGAATTTGGTGTTTAGGCCTTAGTGCTTCACTATTTGCTTGAGCCTTACATTTCCTGCCACAACTGGTCATTGTGGATACTAGTGTATGTTTACTTAGTGGATTTTTGTAACATCATGAAGAGGAATTTGACCTTTATGTTCATTTGAAACAGGCTAGTTTACATGGTTATGAAATTAGATTACTATTCCTGTTTGCATATTTATGGACTATGTTTTTTCCTTTTTTGTACTTGATATTTAGGTGACAAAATTTTTCATGTGCATAACACGGGGCATCAATAAAATATCCTGTGTCGTGTTGTAGGATGATTTGATATGTGGAATGGTACTTTTAGAGCATGACCACATTTTTTGTGAATCGCATTATTTGTGCCTCAAATGATTGATCTGTTCATTGACAAGGTTGTTTAGCTATGCAATATTAATTTGGCATAAAGCTGTTGTTTATCATTTATCTTTGCGATTTTGGACTGCACTAATTTTAGATGGCAATAGTAAATAATTAGTACATCATTTTACTTCTTTCGGTGCATTTTAAAATCTTATGTAACCAAACGCGTTCAGTGGCGGAAGTCAATGTTAGGTGGTTGGTGGTAATCTGGTACATATGGTTATTGCCATGTTAACTTTGAATTATGGTAGGAGGCAAAGAGAGTAATGTCTGCATTAGACTACCAATCGGAAAATCATTGCACATTTTTCTCAACAACTACTTCACTTTCTCCTTATTAAATTTTTGAATAGATGTATTTTCACTCCCACTCTACCACCCATGTGGGGACAGTGTTTATGTCTATCATTGTTAACAGTGAGTTTTACAAATGATTGTTGCTTGGTTGCTAATCACGCTTAATTTCATTTGAGCTAAGCTTAAAATATCTTCACCCTCTTCTGTTTTTTAGTCTTCTTCAATTTTTGTGCAATTTTCATGTTGTTCGACTATCTGTATGTTACACGAAAATAGTACAAGGACGGAGTGAAAATAAAAAGAAACACAAGTGTTATTTCAGGTGTAACCGAACATGCGATGTCCCAAATATATCAAATTAAGATTTCCTGTTACATGAATTTATAGACGTGTAGACCGTTTGGCACCTGTCTCAATATATTTTTGGTTCAAAAAACCTAATTTTAGGTTTTAATTTTATCCAAAAATTAATTTTAGAATTTATATGATACAGGTAATAAATAAATATCCAAATACTGTAGAAATAGGTAATACGACATGTTAACAACTCGAATAAAGGAATTTCAAATTTCTTAAAGCGGCAAGGCTCGAACAAGTTTAGAGCATATTTTGATGTCTCACTTTGATTTACGTAATATTTAACCCAAAAAATAGTTTTCAAGGTCAAAGCAACAATTTTATATGACGGGCCACAAGCAACCAATTCAATACGAAAGATATAAAATTTTGTTAGTACAACGTAATAGAGAAGTGGGAAATAAATTCAATGACAGATAATATAATAAAAATAAAGCAAAGAAGAAAGAATTCTTATTGAATGATCCTTGATAGGATAATGAGCCGAACAGAGCTTGAAGGGCCAAACTATGGCTAACTTGAGAGCAATATGCTATAAATTACAATGTATAGCATTGTTGAGAAGAAAATTAGATTCCCCCTCATGGTTGTAAAAGTATGTCTATTTATAGGGCTAAATCTAAGTAACCATTCTCCTTGAATTATGGGTCCATTATGAGCATTTACTCAATCCATCCATTACTTTTGGAAGACTTGTAACAGCTGTGTAAATGCTGGAATTTCGTAACTGGTGATTTAATTCCGTAATTGATGAATTAATTCCACAACTGATGAGTTAATTTCGTAACTGATGAGTCAATCTCGTGCCTGTTGAGTCAATCTCGTGGCTATTGAGTCAACCCCTTCCTGTTGAGTCAATCCCGTGCCTGTTGAGTCAATCTCGTGCATATTGAGTTAATCTTGAATTGATTGCCTTGTTCTGACCGTTACAATCATTTATTGCATTTATTGTATGTTACAAAATTGATTTGTAACAGATGGTGCTATGATGATAAATCTCATATAATCTGGGATTAATTGATTCCTTCCTCATGAGATATTCTCCCGCACCTGATCCGGCTATTTCATGATGATTTGTTCCGAGGCTAACAGGCACGGTACGAGTATGTTCGGTCCCGGGGGTGTTTCACATATCATCTTTACGTGTCATTCTTCACTTTTCTTCAAACTTTGCTGACACGTATCGCCATTTAATAGACCCACATAGCGAGTCTAATTTTTACTAATACAGATAGTCCCCCCACTTTCTGGTTACTCACTATGATGTGACCGGAAAGTGGAAGATTTTATCCTTTTTATCCTTGCCTCTGCCTCAATAAAAACCTTGCCAGAAAAACCCAATAGGGACAAAAACTGGACGAAGGAAAAAAGAGTGCAGAACTTAGAGATTCAGATGATAACTCCACCGCTTATGTTCCTTTCGTCAATAATCGGTTGGTTTACCCCTGTCTTGTTTCGGGGTTTGAAGACAAATCTTTGCCTTATGTTTGCAAATTTTGATATATAAATTTCGGCTTTATTTTCTACCTATTTTAATGTTTGGGTTTTTGTTTCACCCTTTAACTTTGTATTAAAAATGCTTCAATGCTTCGTGACTTTTTTGAATAAGCACGAATTATAAAAGAGGGCCCTTTTATGAACGACACTTAACGAAGAAGACGTCCCAACTTCATAATGGTGTAAACATACGAAAGAAGAAGTATGAACACACATGTTTTTTGTAATAACTTCGACAAATTTTTATTTGAACTTTGTCAATTTCTACCTTACATGTATTTAAGTAACTTTTATAACTTTTTCGTAACTGTTTTTCTTAAAACAGATTTCAAAAAAGGAAACAAAACACAAGGTTTTTATTTGTAACATGTTTCAGTATATTGAATAATACACAAGGTTTTTATTCATAGCCTTGTTTCACTTGAATAAGACACAAGGTTTTCATTACATTGCCTTTTAACCTAACTATGATAAGGTTTTTCTTTGGCTTTGGCTCGTAACTTTGCTCTTAACTTTCGATTTGTTGGGTAGACCTTAGGCTTGACTTAAATTCCGATTTTTCTAGTCTTCTTTGCCTTCCATATATATAGTCCCCCAAGTGTTAGAGTTTTGAAGTATGAAATCTCGAGCATTTGATTATTCCTTCCATGTGGTCCATTTCCTGAAAAGGAAAAACATACGGGACTCGGAGGTATATATTTTAGATGATGACTGATTAACCCTTTTATTTCATCAGAAGGGTTGTAACCTAGACCGGGAATAATATAGTGTTTCTTATGTCTTTCGGGTCTAAATCATTATTTGGCATTTTAGGAAATTTATCCGAATACAAGTTTTTCTTGGCACTTTAGAAATTTATTTGAGTGCTCATACTAAGTCTTTTAGACTTAAAATTTATATTTGGATGCATCGTTACATGTGCGATGTCTTAATCCTTTGGGTGTCTAACTTTTATATACTTTAAACGCTATGAAGAGGACGTCTCCTTTTCATTCAGGTGTAAAATATGATCGATTGATCCGAGTAGACTTTTAGTGTGAGAGAGTATTAATCCTGGTAGGATTTACAAGATTATTGACCCCATTAAGATTTACGGGAGTATTGATCCCGGTAAAACTTTGAGTTTGAGGTAATATTGATCCCAAATAAATATATATCTTAGTAGATTTGTTCTGAAGAGACATTTAATCCGATTGGATTTGAATCCAAATTGGAGTATATGAATATACTTCCAAATAGAGAGGGACACATGTCCGAAATAATATTTGAGTTTGTTGTTTATATATACAGGATAATCGATCCGAGTCATAATACAATTAGCCATTAAGAAAGGCGTATATATTCAACTTGAATGGTTGTTGTTGGACCAAATATAAGTCACGTGTTTGTTCAAAGTGAGCTTTATTCTGGTGACTTATTTGCATACATTTATCTTGACTTAGATGTAAAACTCTCATTTTTATCGTAGGATTCTTGACTCTGACATGGAGTTCTCGATCCTTTTTGTGTACGTGTAGTATATGTACTTTTGAAGAACTCATTCAACACTGTTTGAAGTGTTTATGCTTGATATGAGCAATACAACTAACTGAGTTGAGCTGGTAAGTTATATCGGAATACTCTTAGGAATTCTATCTCCCAAGGCAATCAATTGTTTGTATCACTTCTTATAATGTCAGGTCAAATTGACTAATCTTCAAGTATAAGTAATCTTCCTAGCGTTTGAGTTTTGAGGTATGAGAACTCAAACACTGGAATCATAATTTGACAATCCACAGTTTAATAGTCCCCAGTAGGATAGTTAGTTTCGATATTGATGGACTTTCAAATGGTCCAGTTCCAACATAGGGACGGTACTGAAGCTCTTTTTATCAAATATTTTGTACTCTGGTCGGGAACTACGGAGGTTCCAAAATATTGTCGAGGATCATGCTATATCTTGATTTGAGCTATTCATACTGACTTTGATGAGTTTTGATTTAAAGCCTTATTACCGGAGTAATTTTCACTGCTTTCTTTATAAATTTCTCGCATCATATATTTTGTTTGTTTGGCCCATGTGGTATTTTAGCTTTTGGAGCCTTGAATATTCTCAAATATAATTCTCCTTCAACACGGCAGGCAGTACGGGATGAGACGCACTCAGAGTTATCGAGAGCATGCTTGTCTTTGGGTACAGTCCCATTCTGCAAGTAATAAATGAATTTATTATGCCAATTAAAATTAAATTAGTCAGGCTTACCTCATTTTCATTCTAATTGATGATAGATCAGGGATCGCCTAAATAAGAGATGGATCAATCCCGAGATTGTTTGATCTGGAAACGATATTTCTCAATAAGTGCCCGGCGTTGCTTTCGGAGTCAGTGATATCAGCAATAGATCCGAGAGTAGTACATCTGGCTCGATTTTCTTGGGCTACATAGTTTTCTTGAATTTGATCAATCGTTAAATTAATATTTTTGCTCTGAGTCCCAAGCTAATTTAAGCCCTGTAGCATATGCTTCATACTCGGCTTTGTTGTTAGTAATAAAATAACTTTTATGAATTATCTAACTACTTTCCCTGATAGGCATTAAGCATTGTTCCTAACTCGGGAAGTTTAGTACTTGTGGACCTAATTGTGTAGAAGGTCCAGATCCTAAGAATTATCCCAGAAATAATATGTTCGGGCAATATGTTCGAGCTAAGATTAATCATGAAATCTGCTAAATTTGTGATTTTATAGCCGTACGTGACTGATAAACAATATCATATTCACTTAGTTCGACTACTCATTTAGCTAGCCTTCCTGACAGTTCATTTTTATGCAAAATATTGCGCAATCAAAATATAGTGACTACGAGAATTGAATGACATTGAAAATAAAGCCTTAGATTTGGGGCAACTACAATTAATGCCAATTTATCAAAATGTAGATATGTAGTTTCCGTATCTAAGAGCATTTTATAATAGATAGGAGAATGTGTACCTTTATCTTCTTGAATTAAAATTGCATTTACCGAGACATCCGAGACAATTTGGTGTAGCGGCAATCATCTTTCTCCTCGGAATTTTGAAAGTAATGATGCGTTGTTGTTAGATAGCAAGTTCGAATGAATCGACTTTTCGGACTAAACCGATCTTTCGAAGTTTTTTAACTTTATCTTTTATTATTTGACTCTAGTTTCTTCTTTTGCTTGACCGGATTATTTCACGGGTCAATATTGAGCATATAAACCTTTACCTCCGGTGGTACACCTATTATGTTAGCACGGAGGCAAGCAAAGCAATTTTTGTTAACATGTAAAAATTACCTTTAAATTTGTTGTCGAGTCACGACCAACGTAAACCTTCCTATTTGGGAAGTCAATGATAATTTATAGTTCTTCAGCATTTGACCTCGTGGCTTCTGATGCTTTCGGTTCAATGATTGCTTCGGAAAATATTTGTATAATTGTCCAAGGTTATTAATGAACCTTCCTTCCTCGTGGTCTATTCCATCCCGCAGCTATCTCTTCTTTTTCAGTTGTTAGGTGTGGTATCTTTGTAAGCAATCTCGTGGGTGTTTTACCCATGTTCCTCCTAATCTTCATTCTTCCCCTATGAAATTTTACAATTTAGCAAGGTAATTCCTTACCTGTTCGGGTAGATCCGGATGTTTTCCATCCCGTGAAGAAAATCTCGTATCTCTTTGCTCGGACCTATTTTTTAGATTTTTGCATTTAAATTCGGATCACCCAAGTATCACATCTGTTTGATCTCCGGGACTGTTTTTGACTTTTAATTGAATGAACGTGTCTTCCTTTATTCAGAGCTTTGTATATATCGAATTTAAATTTTGCTCCTCAGTTCCGAAAAGGTCCGACGTTATTCTTCTAACTCCTTCAATCGGATCCGGAATCACCTCAGTTTGGTTTTCGAACCTGGTGTATCTGAACCTCCTGTTCCGGAACTGTTTCATACAGATTCGTTATAATCAATTCTGGTACTGATAGTTGCGGTACCAATATATCGATGTACATTCTCTATTTTTCTCTGCTTATTGCTTACATATCATTATCATGGCTATTCTTCCCTTTTAATTTTGCATGTTAAAGCCATCTCCAACTTGGTTGTCCTCAACTGTGTTGATTGGGCAAATTTCGGCTATGATGAAGGTTTAAACTGAAAACAAGCGAATATTAACAAAAATTGTTACTCTCTTTGGATGAATAGCAAATTTGCTTGAGTTCCCGGTAACGGAACCAAACTGCTTAACCCAAAAAATAGTTTTCAAGGTCAAAGCAATAATTTTATATGACGGGCCACAAGCAACCGATTAAATCCGAAAGATATAAAATTTTGTTAGTACAACGTGATAGAGAAGTGGGAAATAAATTCAATGACAGATAATATAATAAAAATAAAGCAAAGAAGAAAGAATTCTTATTGAATGATCCTTGATAGGATAATGAGCCGAACAGAGCTTGAAGGGCCAAACTATGGCTAACTTGAGAGCAATATGCTATAAATTACAATGTATAGCATTATTGAGAAGAAAATTAGATTCCCCCTCATGGTTGTAAAAGTATGTCTATTTATAGGGCTAAATCTAAGTAACCATTCTCCTTGAATTATGGGTCCATTATGAGCATTTACTCAATCCATCCATTACTTTTGGAAGACTTGTAACAGCTGTGTAAATGCTGGAATTCCGTAACTGGTGATTTAATTCCGTAATTGATGAATTAATTCCATAACTGATGAGTTAATTTCGTAACTGATGAGTCAATCTCGTGCCTGTTGAGTCAATCTCGTGGCTATTGAGTCAACCCCTTCCTGTTGAGTCAATCCCGTGCCTGTTGAGTCAATCTCGTGCATGTTGAGTTAATCTTGAATTGATTGCCTTGTTCTGACCGTTACAATCATTTATTGCATTTATGTATGTTACAAAACTTGATTTGTAACAGTATGGTGCTAATGATGATAAACTCTCATATAACTCTCATCCTCAGCCTCCATACTATTACTATCAAGGGNAGGCTAACAGGCACGGTACGAGTATGTTCGGTCCCGGGGGTGTTTCACATATCATCTTTACGTGTCATTCTTCACTTTTCTTCAAACTTTGCTGACACGTATCGCCATTTAATAGACCCACATAGCGAGTCTAATTTTTACTAATACACGTAACTGAACTTTTCTATAATGTTTACCAGGTTCACTATAGGCTTTTTGGTCCTTTGTGATTATACTCTTTATGGTAACACTTTGTTATCTAGGTTGTTTAGAATGCCGAATTTTTCCTACAAAATTTTAGGCTAAGAAAATTAATAGAAAATGCTCACAAAGGACCAAATCTTCTTTTCTTTGCCATCCATAGACCATAGTATAAGGTCCTGCACTAAAAAATTGAAATTCCCTATTGTTGCGTTTTTTTATCTGTTTCTATTGCAATTTAGCTATTTGTCATCTTAGTAAACTGAACGGATATCTCATTTAACCTGATTAGACTACTAAATCAAAATTGAGATAAAGTAACGTACACTGTAGCATAAAAAACTTTTACGCTTTTCAGTGTAGTTTATTGGTTCTAGAAGGTTAATATTTTAATTCAGGATTAACTTGATATGGAGAGTAAGGATCAACTTAACCTGATAGTATAAAAGTTGTTTACACTGTACTGTCAGCACACAGAACATAAACTCACAAAAATTAGATCATACTAAGTACTTCAATTAATTAAGCAGACAAGAATCAGTTCCCGTGCAATTCATTTTTTGTATGAATGTCTCCTTCGATTTATGTTGTTATGCTCATCAGTGTTCTTTTAAGAGGAAGCTTCTTATAACTTCCCATACATCATTAAAAAGGCCAAACGGCTCTTTTAGCAGGTGAACAAATGAAAGAGGACATTATGCAGGGCCTATTTGCTTAAACTATCAAGGAGTCTTGAGAGTGAGATACACATTTACCTCCCATATGAAAGTGTTTTTCAAATGCTAAATGGTTTCAAATTTCTATACTTCACTGGATATGTTCTTCGTAGTAATTGTCGCTAATCACAGACACAAATCGTTCGAGCCAAGGAAGCTGATGGAGATCCTTCATGGCATCAACATAAGAATCTGTACAACGTGGCGGGGATTGGTAAGCTTGGTGGTCCGTTAGACTGAATCCACCAGCAAGAAATCTCTGGATCAAAGCCAGCTGAGATCTCTCTTCATCTGAATATGCATCCATCATCATAGGCAGCGACTCGAATGAGTCCCACGCCCATTGCTCAAACTGCTGCGTCGGTTGAGTTGCCAAATCTTGAGTATAATCCTCATCCCAGAATGCACATTGACAAGTCTGTTGGCTGTCCCTGTATTCCGCACCACAAGAATAACAGAACTCATGCCCACACCTGCCAGTTTCCAACACAAGCATAAAAGTTGTCAATACTTATCATCGATCCACCAACTTCCATTTCAGCAGAATATATACTGTATTCAACAAGTTTTAAAAGACAAAAGGGCATAGGATTTTAGTTAGTAAGCATCTGCTTGGATAAGTTGCCTTACTGACTGATTCAAATATGTAACCAAGAAGAAAGATCTATTGAAGTCATGGACAATGATTTTTCTTAAACTTAAAAATTTCTGTTTGACCGAGTATTTTGAGATCCAATGAGAACCATCAACCTAGACTGTCAGGGCATATTGGCAGAAACTTCCCCAACTCTCTAACACAAATATGCTATTTGCTTGACCCAGCTTTCCTTGTGTGTTTTTCCATCTAGTGCTGCTGGAGACAACCAATAATATGGCCAAATTAGCGCTAATTCTTGTACTGGAATGAACAGGTCAAGCTTTATCAGTTATGATTCGAACTATTCTCTCAAGCGATACTCCCCAGTTTTCAAAAGCTCTAGTAAGCTAACTGCTGGTGCCCAAGTTACTTATAACCTAATTTTTTTATAACACTTGCAACCTAATTTTACTAACCTAGTTATTGGTTTTGGTCCCTCAGCTTCAACTACTAAAGGTACAGTAAGACCTTATTAATAATTGATGATAACATGAGTGTAGAAGTAATCCATCTCTGAGATTATTAAAGTAATCTTGCACTAAGATGACCTTGCCGTCAAGTTCAGTTAATTGCTCCATAAGTATTTTCTTAACAATAGCAGCCTCTGACAGCACTTCGCTACCAGACAATCCATTGAAAATCTATTCTTTCAATAGTGGAATCCTTGTTCATATGCATAACAAATGCAAGTTTTATATAAAAGTGTGTGTAAAATACCAAAGTAACTATAATAGATAACACTGATATTGAAACTACTAAAGTCACTTGTAGACTAGAAGCTTCCGGCTTGTCCTGGTGTAAATAGCCTTCAGAAACCTTTGAAAGCCCAAAAGTTTACACTCAGATAATAATGTTTTGTGTCAAACTAGTAGATACTGTTTCTTAAAATCATATTTGAACTACAATGCACAGAGAGGGAAATCTTGTACTTCAATCTCCAAGCTTCTCACCCAGTGTTGTAGTCTATGCCTTCAGCTATTTCAGATCAGCCACTACTTGGGTCGTGTCTCCCCCCTCCCACCCCCTCCCCCTATCGGATAACTGTAAAATGGAAAGAATGACCTCCGAACAACCTAGTACTCGTTTATATGATGTTTTTATTCGCTATATTGGAGACTTCAAAGCTCAAAGAAAAGGGTGGTCTGGTCAGTTAGTCACGTTGGGCAAAATTGTCCATGCAAGCCTTTGAGGGTAAAATAAAGTTGCAGAAGGATGATAGACCTACTAATATACATGTATTTATACATGCATATATGTGTGTATAACTTTTTCTTTTCCAATAAGTCAACTAAAGATTCAAAATATTTTTAAGCTAATGAAGAATAAGCTTCAACAGTGGACAATGTGTAGAAAGATTAATATCAAGGGGCAAGGAGATATCAGCTCATTGTAGATTGGGTAAGGGGTGATAAACCAGTATTCAATTTGCACCGAAACAAGATAGACATCCTATTACATCATCTCCCACAAGCAACTTTGATTATCATATGCTTTACATAAGGCATTTGGAGGAGATGCATATAAAATGCAAGATTAAGCTTTCACGAGTGCCTGACACTTAGAGCTTGTGTTCCGAAATGTCAACATCAGTTTTTCAAGAAAATCTAATCATATAACAATCTATCCAGTATATGATACGACAAACAAAATTTAGTTTCCAAAATCAGAATATCAATGCATTATCTTCATAAATTCAAAAGCCCTTTATAGGACTGTGAAACTTCAAAAAGTATGAAGGAACCAAATATACTCACCAGCATGTCATATGATAGCATCCATGTGCGAGCTCAATCATCCTCCGGCACTGTGAACAGCGCCTCCATCTTTTATTCTGTGCCAGGCGATGCAAAGTTATGTCACCAGCTTCCCTCTCCTCCAAAGGGAGATTTTGGTAGACTTCACATGTCATTGAAGAATGCCACGGAACCCTACAATCAACACACATGAACCTCTGACAAACTGGGCATTCCACACAACTATCCTCTGACTGGCTTGATGAACTAGCCCGAGTTGACAAACATTCATGAGGATCCAAAAGAACAGAACAATTTGGATAGGGGCAGTAAAGTTTGTCCGTGTTGAGAGCATTAGCTTCCTCAAGGGCTCTCACCAAAGATTCATAGGAGTTAAGAGGGAGAAAAGATATACATTCAGTGGCAGAGATTAAGTACTTGCATTTTAGCTGAGGGCACCTAATGGGGACTTGACCAGATTGGACTTTACCCTCAACATAAGTTCTCATGCAATGAGAACAGAATTTGTGGGTACATTTTAATGTGCTCATCATCAGTAACAGTCTATCCTCGCAGCATATTGGACAATTCTCAATTGATTCATGTCCTTCGAGATGGGAAGAGACAACCCCTATTGCTACTTTCGCCAAGTCCAACGCCTTTGCCAGACCAGTACTTGGAACAAGCTTCAGAACAAAAGCCTCCAGAACATCAGCATGATCCAGAATCCTTTGCCGCAATGCCATGAGAAGCGGATTATCAAGGCTCTCTTCATGCATAATCTGACCAAATTATTTACTATTAAAACAACGTAAAATAAAACAAATACTAATACCCCCAGAGCAATTTCTTTTCTTTCTTTTTTTTTACTGTTAATATCCCGGAGCAAACTACAACTGGAATCAATGTCGCACTTAACACATTCACATACAGAAAGAATTAATATCAATTCTGATTTGTAGAAAAAAGATAGTTAGATAATCTGTTCTTCATGTAGGAGAATATTGCAATAAATGGTAAACCAAAATACCCAGTAGCCATATAAAAATTGAGCATCAAGATCAGACTCAACATCTACTTTGTAGAGGAACAACGTCTCAGTGTATTACCGATAAAATCAATTAATTTATCAAATAAAACAACAGAAAATAGACTCGGCATCTATATTTTCTGGTTAAAAGAACCAAGAAACCTTGAATTTTACAGTTCATTTCTAACTGACAAAATTCCATAAAGAAAGATTTGCACATATCCAATTGCAAATTGAATGAAGCAAGAGCCAACAAAGAGAACATTGAGATACACATATCTTGCAAAGCACAAACTTCTCACCTGCTGATATAATATCTCAGAGTCAGTAAAGGCATAAACTTTTCTAATCTTGTTCTTCACAGCTTCCAACAATCCATCCATCAAAGCCAAATAATCTGCCACAAATTCTTCCACATAGAAATCAAGCTTTTTCTGGATTTGAATAGGAGGAACACTTTCTGCTCTCTCCATAACCACTCCAATTCCCGATATCCTGCAGCCAGATTCTCCAGGACCAGCTATAGAAATCCCTTTAAAGAACAATTTAATTGAATGTTCATCAAGATCTACCTCAAAACTTTCACTTACTAATAATTCCTTCTCCTTTGTTACTTCATCCTCTACTTCCTTTAAAGCTGCTTCCTCCAACTCCTCCTCATCTTCACAGCAGCTACAAAAATCTTCCTCATCTTCTTCTAATTTCACTTCATTTGCTAAATTCACCAATAGCCCATCACCATGAACTATTTGTTCTTCCATTTTCAAAGATTCTTAGAAGTACCCACAAATATTTTGGTCCTCCAGAAACTAATAGTACTACTAGTAATTTTTACACAATCTAATTAAAATCCATAACTTAACTCTAAAAACTCCACAACTTTGCTAGAAAAAAATCCCAACTTTACCATCCAACTACTGAATCATAACCCAAGAAGAAATGATCAATTATTTACCAAAATGAGCTCAAAATCTCCATGAGAACCAGACCAATATCGTCAAAAGCTCTGATCTTTCCAAAAGTTTAACGCTCCTGTCCAAAAATTCAAGAAATACCCATTATCACTAGATCCACAGAAAAAAAAAAAGAGTAAGTGAGAAATACCCATCAACTCAAAAGGGAAAAAAAGAGAGAACAAATTCTTCCTTGTACAACTCTAACTCATAAAAGTCAAACCATTAAACCCACTAAGCTACCTAATTCAAGACCTTTCATTGTCACCAAAAAAAGTTTCCATAAATAATTACTAAAACTTAAAGGGAATAAAATTATGAATAAATTAAAGTTCAAAAAAGAAGGGAAGCTTCCGTACCACAGGGTCTGGTCTGGTCCGCTCTGGTGTTTCAGCTTATATGAAAAGAATTTATCATCAGAATCATGTTCTCAGAAAATGTTTATACGTATGTTAATATGTATGTATATGCAGAAGTGGTATTAAAAAAACCCTAATCTGACAATGTTACAAGAGCAGAGCTTTTACTAAATTTTCTTTCTTCCTGTTCAGACTTGAGAGAGAGAGAGAGAGAGAGGAGCATCAGTTGCGGTTATACGTGGTTGGCTTTAGAAGGAAGGGAAATTACTTGTTGTCTTGGATCTTTTATCGTTGATTTTATTCTCTTCACCAAAAATATAAGTTAGATTAAATTTCTGAGACATTAGAAGAAAAAAAATATCTTTTTCTTGAAGTGAAAGAGTAAGTAAAAATGTGAGCGTTTAGAGCGTATAGTTGTATATAACTAACTAGTATATATGAGCGCACGTTAATAATGATACGTGATGGTTTAAACATTTATTTATATAAAAGAATAATAAAATTTAATTAATGAGAGTAATTTTATGTATAATAATACAACAATCATCTAAATTCCGAAAAATATTATTACATTAGCATAATACATGAATTTAAAATAAAAGGACAGCATCAAAACTTACAAAAATGGTCAATTTTGTCGTGTTAGATAATTTTTGTGAATAATATTTTTTTTGTGTATGTTATCTCCTAATGCTTTGGTTGATTTGCCCAAATCAGAATTCTTGATATCCCTCTTGAAAGTGTAACATACTGTTGTTCGTGCAAGAAAATATATTGCGGTAAATATAGTATAATATTTAGGATGTTTGTCCTTGTATATTTATTATATTTGCAAAACATAAACATACTAAAAATTATTTTCATATAAATTTAAAAGGATATTCCTTAGTTTCGGAAGACGAAAGTTGAATTAGAGATAAAATTATACTTAGAAGCACAATGACCAGTATCATAATTTTTGCATGTATGACGTTATTGTGAAAACTTCTATATACTATCTGTGTGCTATTACATAAGTTATTCGGTGTATCTAAGTTTTCGGTAGCATGACGGACATATTTTTCTTCAAAATCAACCTATATATAATAGAAGATCAATTTTAACTTAGTCTATAATATATGCGGTGACACTAACATATGTAAAAAAAATATTAACCTTGACAACAAAAATGTATGGTAGAAGACCATTTGGTATTAAAGTATTTAAGTATATTCTTCTTGGTAGTAATTATTGGTATCATTTCTGCTGAGTCAAAAATTGAAAAATATTTTGTTTTTACTATAAAATTTTGCAATCCACCTTTACTTTAGTTGATCAACATATTCATTTCTGCTAGTTAAGATATCTTTTTAATTCTATCATGCGATTTGCACAATTTGCGTTTTAATCTAATGATAGAAATATTTCTCTTATTAAATCCACTATTATGACCATTAGAGTTGATAACCAAGTGTTCAGGGAGAACCAAATCATCTTTTATTGGATGCTTTTCTTCATTTTCGACACGAAGCAAGAAGACACTAAATCTTGATATGTTCTTACTTTATATTTCTTGTGAGTTGAATCTTTTTCATTTAAGGCCAAAAGTATAACTTTGGCAAGTTAGTTATGTTTTTGTCGATTTTGGAACTGTCTGTAGTACTTGACAGAAATCACCTCCCAAACCATTAATTTTCCACCAAACGGTTCATTGATATCCAATATATCTCTAGAACTCCGGGCAATTATTTCGATCGTTTGACACTTAGCAATAAGTTCTTCATCCCATATTATCAACTTTGCTTTTCTTATAAATTTGTGATGGTTATTTAAATTGTTTGAAGATGTATATCAAATCTAAAGTGGGTGGCCTCATAATAAAATCGTTATTGGTACATCACTTGCTATTATTGTTAATAGTGTCATGTCTCTTGATATGATATTTGCAAGTAATGCGTGACATAAAAATATTATTTCGATTCCACCGGAGGCATCTACAAAGAATAATCCTGTTATACCAGAGTCGAATCTTTGTAATATAGTCTTGAAAACTTGTTCTTGTTTAAGATTTAGCTTTGATTGTGTTTCCTCAGACACTTGTATAACATTTTGATTCTTAATAATATACTAACCTTTTAAATTTATGTTGTAATTCTTTTTTTATGGAATAAATTTATATACCCTAAACAATTTTAAACTCGAAGAAGAATTTTACTCATGAATTTAAAAAATAATTGAATTGGATTCTCTTGCTAAATAATTAATTAAAAGATCTAATTATTTAGTTTTAATATAAAAATATTTTATTCTATGTTGATTCAAATCTTAATATTAGTTCACCTCTTGTTTCGAATATCATCCACCATAATTTTTTTTTTCCAAAGACTAAAAGATTGATCTGACATTTCGCGTTTAGATCTTTATGTTTGTAGAAACACAAGTGGTATTGACTCTTACCAACCATTTTTCCCCTCTTTCTCACATATTTATATTCTTAAATATTTTCTTAGTTGTTGTTTAATAATTGGATATTTTTCAATATTACAAGAAAAATTGATTAAAAAAATATTATCTGAGTAGGAACGTAGTTCAAATATAATATAAAAATATATTATCGTGGGGGTATTTTTATTTCTTCTCAATTTTAACTTTTTATGCAGTCCATTTAATATTATCTTTTTGTGGGTATTGGACATTATGGAGTGGTAATGTATTGCCAATACAGAGGATTAATTTTTATGAAATTAATTTTATTAAACGTTCCTACATATTTATAATAAGAATTTAATAAATAGAATTTTATTAATTTTAAAATCTTAAAAATTAAACATTAGCGTAGAAGATATTGTAGTCCAACAAATAGGTTATTGCAGTTATGTCCTTTTCCTATGAGTTCTTTCATTTAATATTTTATGGTTATTTTGGTCTATTTGTACTATTATTTTGATAATAATATAGGCTCTTCTTTTTCTAAATAAATTTGGACAGTATAATATATTCTCAAATTAAATTAGTAATAGGACATTATAATACATTTTCAAATCAAATTAGTAATAGAAATTTTTAAGAAGTATATCTTAAAAGTAATAAGATTACATAACTAAAAAGACGTATCTACCCCGGATGTAATTTATCTATCTATATCTATCTATCTAATATCTATATCTTTACGATGGATAATCCTATGTTGGATAAAATTATCAAAGTTAAAACTTTACCATACTTAGGACTTTAAAACTTAATTA